GGGTGAGCTGCTAGAAAAGCACAGTTGTCCTGCCGAGTGATGACCGCGGTTCAGACGTGCTGGCTTCCCCTCGGGATGATGGCGGGCGGCCAGGATAGCTATCCTGAAGGAGTGCGAACCTGTAGGTTGCGTGTGTGCTTGGAGCACATCTGTGCAAGCAGGGCCAGGCCTGAAGGGTGGGGAGCAGTTTAGACTGCGTGTTTTATCCCGACTGCCGCCTCCACTGTGCCCCAGAGGGACTAAATAAGTGTTGTGTGGCTGGGCTAGCACCCGAGAGCCCGGGTCGCTGACGGACCTGCTGTGGATTTCGACCCGTTCTGCTCTGCGGCGGATGAGAAGCGAGCGACCGAGCTGCGGCCAAAGCTCCCCGTCTGCCCTGGCTGCGGCCCAGCAGAGCAGGGCAGGTGCCTCTCCTGGGCTTGGTGGCTCCAGTCTGCCAGCCTGGCCGCTGCGTCTGTGCAGCTCTGAGCGGGGCAAGGGAGAGACCCCCCCGTACCTCGCTGGGCCCTACTTCTGGGCACCGGCTTGCTGCAAACCTCCCCACCAATTCCTCTGGGACTTCACCTAGCTTTTGCAGAGCGGGGCGAGTGTGTGTGCAAAACGCTGGATCCACACAAGGTAAAAGCCCCTGGGAGCAGGGATTCCCCCTGCAGTGCGGCCTGGCAGCCTCCCCTCCCAGCCAGGCCACCTGTCACTGATCTGGCATGTGACACTGGCCAAGGCCCCTCCCCGGTCTTCGCCCTTCTCGCGCCACGGTGCTCTCTGGTCCGCGGTGCGGGCTCGCTCTGTCCCCTGCCTGCGCTCAGCAGTGACGGGAGTGATGCAAGAGCCCCGGTACCTCCTCGGAGGCCTTCCTCCAGTCCATCCGTGCAATGTAGGCGATGGAGCAGCTGCAGGGGATGAAGGCGCAGATCAGCATGCCGAGCCAGAGGCCTGGGGAGAAAAGGCTGGGGTAAGCCAGGTGCGGTCAGCGCCTGCACCCGGCTCCAAAACCTCCTGACCCTGCAAACCTGGGGCCATCCTGGAGGTGTGGGGGGGCAACAGGTGGCTACTTGGGCTGTACCTGGGCAGGAGCGGCCTGAGGCTGCCACCTAGCGACCATGGCCCGTAGTACCGTGCAGGCCTTTGCATGTATACTGACCAGCTGAGGTTGCTGTAAGCAGGTTCCCGAGGGAGGCAGGAAGATCCAGACTTGACCTTCAGCCCAGCCAGGCCCAGACCGCTCGGAGGCCTCCTGCACGCTCTCAGCCCAGGTAAGCCCGCACGAGGTACGTGTGGTTGCGTGCAGGCGTGAAGGTGGGGGCGTTCAAAGGAAATCAGTGTTGCAGTGGGGGCCTGCGCGGAGCCAAGGGGCTATATTTGGGCTTGTGGAAGAGGTGGACTTGTTGTCAGGCTGCAGGCGTGGAGTGGAGATGGGTTTGGGATTGTATTTTTGGAGGCTGGAGGGAAATGGAAGATGGGTGGGGTTTCAAGAGTGGCTTAGAGGAGGGACACGCTGCTTTGAGGAAGGGGAAAGGGGCCAGGGCCAAACCTGGCTTGGAAGGGGCATTTCAGTGGGGGCTGGATACATGCCCACAAAGGAGGCTGCCCAACAATGCACCTGCCCCTGCTCTGCACCTCGCAGACCAGGGCACCGCGCTGGCTCTGGCAGGGTTTAGAGACACGTTCTGCTGTCACAACAGTAGCCCCCTTGGTGGGGTGCGGCTGGAGGTGTCCGAGCTGGGGACGTTTTGCTCCTGTCTCCTGCCGGTCCCTGGGGGTGCCGGGGTGCCCTTTCTCTGCCCTCCACTCCGGCCATTGTACCTATGATCCCGATCCGGGCCACAAAGAGCAGCAGGATCGCCACTGGGAGGCCCACGACATAGTAGCCGATGGCGTTCAGGATGGCCCCGAACTTCTGCCTGCCCGAGCCCCGGAGCACGCCGCTGGCGGTGCACTATGGGGAGGACACGGCGCGGCCATGAGAACCCTGACCCCACGCAGCCCCCAGCGCCCATCCAGGCTGACCCCTCTGAGACGCTCATCGCAGGGGTGAAGCCGGGGCCGCCTCGAGGCTGAGATGCCACCAGGATCCTATGGGCCAGCCATGCCTCAGGAGAACTGGCAGCCCCTACCCAAGTGCCCGGCAGCTGGGCCGCTCACTTGTTATTACAAGTTTCCTCTGCGCTCCCAGCTGTGTTGGGCTCGCAGGGAACCCATCGCAACCCTGCGGGGACTGGATGTTTCCAGCCTTCCCCCCTCCCCCCAGGCTTTCATCTTCCCTCCGTGTTGGGGGAGTTCCCCTTGGACCGGTCTCTCCAGTTACCTCGGAGGCAGTCCTCCCTCTCTGTCCATCTCCCAGGCCTGAGATTTGCTTGAGGTGCTGGCCTTTAGCAGAGGGAACCGCCCCGAAGCCTCCACCACCCACCCGGGACACGTGCCGCCACGTGGGGAGAGAAGGGGCACTCACACAAGCTGCTTCGAACAGGTGGAAGGCAATGTACACCGGCATAACCCACGCCACCAGCTCGATGATCTCTCTGTTCAGGGAGCAGAAGAGCAAGCAGCGCTAGCAACGCGATTCAAGAGCAGTTCAAGCCCCGGCATCTGGCTGCGCTCGGTACGCCTGACTGGTCTCAGCAGACTTGCCCCACCAGGCCGTGAGCAAGGGCAGCGGGATGAAGCCATGAGCCAGAGGGCCCTGACCCAGCTACCCTCAGGCACTGGGGCTTTA